TACTAAAATATTAAAATCTTCACCATGCTGAGTAAAAAAAAGGCTTTGCTTTGATCATTTCTGATCACTGTTAACTTGGYCTGACTTTAAAGTCTATGTACAGTTAAGATGTAACAAAGCACAGACTGAAGATTTATAGTWTGCACGGTGACCTCGAGCTAAACTGGAATAATGCTGCCTACCTGCAGTCTCAGTCCAGTGCTACCAGGTGAGGTTTATTTTTCTTYACAGCCCTCATACATGTAGTTTTTTAGAAAATAATGTGTTCTTTTCAATCAAGACCGGGAACAATCAAAAGGACTAAGTCTTAAGATCTCAAACCTCAAAGCTGCACTCCAGCTTGCACAGAACTTCAAGGATTGTGATATAGCCACAGGACATAACAAGCTGAGCCATGAAAGTAAAATCTTCAAAAATCAATTCTGAAACTCAGAGGTAACAGCAGCGGAGATCTTTTCTCCTTCAAGTGATGCTGAAGCATTTTGGAGGAGTYGTAAAGCTGGAAGAACTACTTTTCACAAACTGCAGTGAGGAACAGAGAAAGGCACAGGGATTTAAATATATATAAAGAACTTTCACCTGGTGTCCCGGGGATGAAAAGGCCTCMGTTTGGAAACATTTCTACTGTCAGCATGTGGTTTGCTTGGATGTGCAATTGGCCAGCCAGGTAGAGAAGAGACAACTTTAGTCTGCTGTCACCGAGGATTGGTTGCAAAACCACTGGWGTGAGAAAAGAAGGAAAAGGTAAATGAGCCAAAGATTTTGCACTTTACTTTTGATCCAACAYCACTTTCTGTGTGCTTCTAATGTTTTCCTGCAGAGAAATAAATACTTGCTGGGTCTTTTATTGAATAATTTTTGACATCTTTAATTCATCTTTACTTATTATTTTTGTAAAAAGATTGTGTGGAATAGATGTGAACATTTTCTATGACACAACTGTCTATTGTCAGGATACTTTGCAGGCAAATTTGGCTAATTTTGTTGTATGGTGTGTCATACAATATATGTATACAAACATACATACATACATACATACATACATACATACATACACACACACACACACAC